ATCCTCTCCACCTCCCAGAGCCACCACCCCCATGTCCCTCACCCCCCACAGCCCTGCACCCTATTCACCTCCATACACTGCTGCACTCCCATTATGTCCCTATACACCTCTGTGCCCTCCACATCCTCATGCACCTGTAGCCTTCTGCCTCCCCCTGCATCCCCATCCACCCCACATACCCCCCCACACCCCCTCCTCTCTCCTTCACTGCCCCCTCTCACCCCCACCCTGCTCTCGTCCTTGGCCTCTTTCCTTCCCCATCCTCTCTCCTCCACCCACCCACCCCCATCTTTACCCCTCCAGCCCACTCTCCTCCCTTCCCAGCTGGGTGATTTAGGCAGCCCCTGGAAAAGTGTATAAAAAAGTGTCTCTGTGTAGGCAAGTGTGTGCATGCATGCATTTATGTGTGTAAGAGACTGTGTGTCTTTGTGTAGGGAGGTGCGTGTATTGCCGCATGTGTGTATATCTGTGTGAATAAAATGTGCAGCGTATCTCTTTGACTTTTATTCCTTTTGCTGGTTTGCACACAAAAAAACTGATGCCACAAAATATGTGTGTATTCATTTCATAACAAGTTTTTAAAAGAGAAGGGAACTCTAAAAGAAATATATTATTTCTTAAAAAGTGAATGTTGACTAGTAATTGCAGAAGAGCCAATGTATCATACATTTCTCCCACCTTTGTCTAGCTACATTATAAACTCTTCATTGCAGACTCTCTTTTTATGTGTATGTCCAGCACCTATCACCCTGGAGCCCTGCTCTGAGTTGGGGTTTCTAGGCTAAACAACAATGATAATAATAAATAATGCGGAAGTATGTGTGTTAGTGCATGCTAGATGTGTATACATGAATACACCTGTGTTTCTGCATTTAGGTGTGGGAGTCAGGTTCTACAGATTTATTTATATAGGTATCTGGATAGGTGTGCATTTCTGTGGTTGTGCTCTATGGATTTGTATTTGGGCTTTGGGAGTGGGCTTTTAATGTACCCACTGCAGCTCTGATAATGCGTGGTCCTGATTCTACACATAAAATTACAATAACTTTAGTGATCAAAAAACATGGAGCTGGTTACGAAAAATGGGAAGAGGGGAGGGAAATAATCATGAAAACCTTTGTGAAATTTCATTTTTTTTTAAATTACCCCTTTTGACTATTTTGTTGCCAGCTCTAGTGTCCTGTAACAAATAAAACCTGAACTTAACATAATACATCTGTCAAAACAATAAATATGCTTGTTTGGGCCTTGCAGTGAAAATGAGCAGGTGAGAGAGGGTGGAGGAGAGCAAGCGATGGAGGGAAGGGGAATGGAGTGAGCGGGGGCGGGCTCAGGCAGGGGTGGGGCCTTGGGGAAGGGGCGGGGCAGTGGGCAGGAATGGGCAGGGCAAGAGTGTTCGGTTTTCTGGAATTAGAAAATTGGCAACCCTACTCCCCAGGTCTGTGCAGAGCTCTGGAGAGAGAAGAACAAGGATCATTTGTCTTCTACCCCTGGTCTCAGTCATAAAGGGATGCAGAGATTGATGGGGGCTCCCTGCAGAAAGGTGTACCACTGGCTGCCATCCAGCTCCTGTTCCTCACAAGCTCTATGCAGTGGTCCTGGGAATAGATTACACCATCATGGCCCCAGACTCAGAACCAGCAGCTGCTCTGGTGCTGTGTTACTGCTGAATATCCTCCTACAGGCCCTGGGGCAGAGCTTGCATGTGAGCTCCATGTGGAGCAGTGCATGAGACAGGGATTACAACTGACCAGCCAGGGACAGGAACCCCCTGGGCAGAACAAGGACAAAGACCTGTGTGATGTGTGCCAGCAATATGGATCTCCTGGCAAACAGGGGACATATACCCCCAAAGATAGGTCAGCAGCACAGATCTCCTGTGCAGACCAGGCACAGAGACCTGACAATCTCTTTCAGTGTTACCCACATTAGGCCACATCAGGGGCCTCATGTGATGTTCACACCTGCTGCATGCCCAGGCACCCAGCTGAGTCCGAGGCAGGCAGCTGGTATCCCCTTGCAGTGACTCTGCCTGGCCATGGGTAGGCACTGCTGAGCCCCTCTACTTCTCTGTCTGCTCATGCTGCCGGCTCCTGCTATTATGCGGGAGGTTGGGTAGCTCCAGACAAGTGTGTGTTTGATCTGTGGGCAGTCACAGATCTCATGGCAGTGGATAGACATGTTGGCCGCTTTTCATTCAGGTGCCTCAATGCCAGACCCCTACCACTGCTCAGGGGGAGGGGGAATCGGTCACTTTCTCTTTGAGGGAAACATCACGTTTACTAGCTGTGAAACAGGAGTTACTTATACTTAGGCCACTGTAATATTTCCAGACAAAATATGATTTTCAAGGTGGTGGTGCCCCGGTTCACTTCACTTAATCCCACAAAGGCAGTTTAAAGAGATTGAGTTCGGGCACCATATATAGCTCTATTTGTACAGGGGGGGGCCAGCACTGATGGTGCTCTGTAAATCATTCCAAAACTTCCTTTGCTGCACAGAACCCCTCTGGCACTTGGGAAGAAAGGCGAGCACTCATTTAACTGAACTCTCCTATTGCAAAATTGTCACCCAGAGCCAGCACTGCCAACTCTTATAGTATTTGGTGTATGTCTTAAAGCCCCAACTCCTGGAGTCAGTGGATTAGACAAGGAGTTCATTTAAAAAAAAAACTTCTAGTCTTCATGATTGTGGAGGAAAGGCTAAGAACCTGACCCAACTGTAACCTAAAGACTCAGAAACTTCAGGAGAATGAAATAACCTGGTGTTTATTTCTTTTGTTTTGTAAAAAAAATCCTGTGTTTTTCACCCAGCCCCAGGGTTTCTTGGGGCCTGCCTCCTCATTCTGAAGGTATAGGGCTGCCCAGCCTGCCGAGCGAACCAGGCCCTTTTCCTAAATCACAGCTGGCACCTCCCTGCTACCCAGCATGCAAATAATGTTTTCGCAAGGACGTGCAAGCGAGTAAACCAGTGGTATGTTGACATGTTTGCAATAAACCTCCTTTTGTTTCTTTTCCCAGGGCTGCAGGGTGGCTGGTTTGGGAGCCTTCCCCTCCCCTAGGAAGAGCAAGCACATCGGGGCGCGGGGCGGGGGGGAACAGGCCAAGTGCACTTTCTTTTGCAAAGACCCCCTTGCACCTTTAAGGACTGGAGACTTCGGATGGAAGCAGGGCACAGCCCACCTCTGAACCCGGTGATTGACAGGAAGCTGGGGGGGTGGGGTGGGGATGTGAGTGTATGTGTCTGAGGAAGGGGTGGGAGGAGCTCGGGCCCTTCCCAGATGGCCAATCAAGGCAGAGGGGTGGGCAGCTTGGCTCTCTTCTCCTGTGGCTTTTTTCTGTGTCAGTTTCAGGAGTCCTGAGCCTGAGCTAAGCAAAAGCAGGAGGCAGAGGGGGCTGCTGGAGTTTGCAGAGACAGAGAGAAAAGGGAGGGTATTTTGCTTGCTTTGCTGCTGCTGGGGTGGGGGCAGAGCTCTGGCTTTTGCAAGAAGAAGGGGAGAGGAAAGAAGAAAGAAAGCAAACCAGCCCACCCCCTTTGAGATCGCTCTGGCAGTGGCTGGAGGGGGGTGGGGGAAAGTTTGCCTTGCAACCCTCCTTCGCCCCTGCCTTCCCCAGATCAATGCCTATTTGCAAAAGGATTAAGAGGCAGATTTAAAGGCTGATAGCTCATTTCTGCGATTGCAAAAGGAGCCCGGGACTAAGAAAGCAGCCAGAATCCAGCTCTGATTTCCCCCCCCCCCCACCTCCACCAAGTGGCAAGGAGGTTTATTTTTCTTGCTTTTTGGAGTCATCCTCTCCCCCCCCCCCCCCCCCCCCCCCCCGCGTCCCCTTCCCCCCTCCCTTCAAGAAGCAACGGGATCCCCCTCCCCCCTTTCTCGTTTTGCCTTTTTTTTTAATTTCCTCCTCCCGAGAAGAAGGATTTGGAGCCAGCGTGAAGGATAAAAAGCCTGGTTTCTCCCTAGGAGGCGCGCCGAAGGAGCCGGAGGGAGAAGGAAGGAGAAAAGGGACTGCTGCTGCTGCTAGCTTGGGCGATGGACGATCAACCCAGGTTGATGCATTCCCATGCTGGGGTGGGGATGGCAGGACATCCCGGCCTGTCCCAACACATGCAGGATGGAGCAGGAGGGACAGAGGGCGAGGGAGGCAGGAAACAAGACATTGGAGACATTTTACAGCAGATCATGACCATCACAGATCAGAGTTTGGATGAGGCACAAGCCAGGTGAGATGGGGAAGGCGGGGGGAGGCGAAATCTTCCCTTCCTCCTTGCATAGTGCTGGGTTTCTTCATTGTGCTTTCTCTGCTTTGAATATTAGCTAGGTCGGGGAAGGGAAGGAACCAGAGCTACAGTAGAAATGTTGATCACAAGTATGTGTGTGGTGTGTGTGTGTGTGTGTGTGTATATATATATATATATATATATATATATATATAAATTTGGTGGTATGATATAGTTACATTATATCTGTCTGCCTGTATCTATCTATTTGAAACTGCTCTCTGATCTCAAGCCGGCCTTCCTCACTTCCATGGCGCCTGGAGTCGAACAGGACAGGAGGGCTAAGTTTTGAACATCATCTTGCTGGGTGGTATCCCAAGAGGAGAAAGTCCCAAGCTAGACTTTATTGCTAAATTATTTGATTTTCATTCCTTTCATCCCGCCTTTCTTGCCCGTGTCTTGGGACGGTTAGGATTTCTACAAAAATTGATTTTTGAGGTTTTGTGCGTGTGTAAAAACAAATCACTTTCTTTGTCGCCAGTTATCAGCCCTTTTAGAAAAGCTTTTCTGTGGGATTTTAAAAAGCAGGCCCTTTTCATGAAGGGTGGGGGTGGATATTTGCTTTTATTCATTGAAAAAGTCGTACTCAAATTCTTGTTTGGGGTGTTGGGATTTAAAAAACAAAAACAAAAAAAACTTGGGCCAGTTTCCTGTGGGTTTACTGTCTAATCCAGATATATGTACAAAAACTACTCTTTCTCTTTTCCCCCCCCCTTCATCCGCCGCATTAAGCACCTATGACACTACTATGTGTTATTGGAACCATGTGTGGATTATGTACACTTTTGGAATAGGATTTGGGGATGGCAGCTGATTCTTCTTCAGCATTTGCGTTGTAGTATTTCATTTTATAGCAGACAATTTTAAAAACACAGTAGCCTGCTTTGAATTCCATAGAAAATGCACCAAGTGGTGTATCATCTTTGGACACATTTTAAAATAATGCGCTTTTTGCTAAGGCTACATTTTATGGTTGGGGCAGATGTGCATAGATTTTTTTTATGATGGGATATTAAAAAGAAAAAAAGCAGTAAAAATCTGCTAACTGGAATGTATTCGACTTCACCGCATACAAGCTCAATAGACCGCTTTGAGAAGCTCCAGCCAAACTTAAAAAAAATGAAGGCACAGTTATTTTTTGAATATAAAGTTGCCAAAAATTGTCTGGTATAAATTAGAATTTTATTATCTGAAGAAAAGCTTTTAGGTGTGGTATAGTTCTCACTGGCACATATGTTCCACAATGGAACAGATTGCTAGAGAACATTGTTCATGGAAAAACTACATCCCAATAAACTAGCTTGGATCTACTTCCAAAGGGGTGAGGCTATGCTATTATATTTGGTCTCTCTGTCTTCTTAGCCTTAAAACCCCAATATCGTAGGATACTTTGTTATTGGACTGATTGTTATAGAAGCAGAGCTTGGTAGCTTTTAGGATGAAGAATTGTCCCACTTTATGCCCAGACAGAGCTGTGGGAGGGGGGGAAATCTTTATCCTGAAAGTTACAGGAATTGTGTGTGTGTGTGTGTGTGTGTGTGTGTGTGTGTGTGTGTATTTTCCTGCATGTGTAATTTACATTCAATCAAATTAAAAACAAACAGAACTTTGAGACCTGGATGATGCTCCATGTTTTGCCTTGCTGGGCTATACACAGCTACTTCCTTACCGGACTTTCTCTTCGGCTGTGAAACCGACTGTATTTTTCAGCGCTGCGTGGTTTTCAGTCCTGCGTATGCATCCCATATTAGTTTTTATGAAGTTCCTTTAAAAATGTAAATTGCTAATAGTGTCTGTGTGTGTGAAGCACATAAGCGTTGTTTATATACAAATGGCTGTGATCATTTGAGTTCTCTGCTAAGGTGACAGTGTGGCTTTTCTGGGCTATGCCTTTGAGAGACTTCGTATACCAATCTTTTACCATAAGGCGGGGTGGTGGTGAGGAAAATAATAGTGAATGTTTGCCAGATATTCCCACCACCTTTATATATCATTTCAGTTAGTAAACAACATTCCCATAATTGATGCCTGATCAGAACAGCCCTTTATACAACCAAGCCCTTTGCAAAGTGATTAGATGGCTAAAAAAATTACATTTGTTTCTTTGCTTAAGTGGGAACCTGATGGGTTTTAAAGGCAACCAGCCAATTAAACAAGCAACTCTCCTGCCTCCCTCAAAAACAATAACCAATCCCTGCCGCCTGAAAAGAAAAGAAAATTTTAAAAAAATCCACCAAGCAGAAGGTTGTGTGTGTGTGTGCTTTTTTTTTTTTTTTTAAATGAGTGTAGTGTCCTAATTGTCAATAATTGAATCTTAACATCAGCAAGCAGGCAGTGTGTACACAAGAAGCATAATGTAAACATGAAAAAATGCATTTCTGTGCCCAGATGTGTGTGTTTGCCCCTGGCAGTGCATTTCCATTCTCTTTAACTTGGGTCCTGAAATGCTATAAATTGACAGTTCCAATCGGTGCAACTTTCAAATATTGAGGGGCATCTGCAGGATGAATTGGAACACATGGGTGTATTAAATAGAAAGGAGGGTAGTGTGAGGACGGGGTGAGAGGGAGGGAGACAGATCTCAGTGCTGTGTATTTCATGTCTTCCACATGTTCCTGGCTTTGGCTGTTAATTGCCTGGCTAGGGCTGCTAGATTATGAATGCCACTTAGTAGCAAATGCCATTTTCAAGTAATTCCTAAATTGGCCTAATTTATGTTATCTGTGTTAGTGGGTAGCCCCTCAAGAATGAAAGATCATCAGTTAAAGTCCTAAAAGTTATTGCATGGTGGCTTCCTGTGCAGTTTTGGCCAAAATGTATATTGTATTTATAGGTATTTAATTGTATTTTCCCCCTCCTTTTGCACATACTAGCCAATTTCAATTTTGAAAGTTGTCTTGAGCTGCCATGGCACCCTAACCTTGCTTCTTTCTTGCAGAAAACATGCTTTAAACTGCCACAGAATGAAGCCGGCCCTTTTTAACGTCTTGTGTGAAATCAAAGAGAAAACAGGTAGGAATGGGGATTCTGATGATCTTATGGGTTTTGTGCCAATTTTGTTTTTCCACTTTAAGGGTATTCCCCTCTCCTCAAAAGTTCTTACTTTTTAATATTATTCCAAAGGGAAAAATGGAATATTTTACACTTCTGGCATTAACATTGCATAGTAGGGTATCTATTGAAGAGGAGAAAATGTTAATTAATCTTCACCCATGCAACCTTTGCTGCTTTTAATATGTCGTCTCTCTTGTTACATCTTTAAAATATTGCACTGCTATGAAAACTGTTCGGAAAATAGATTTAAAACAAAAAACAACAACAACCCCCTAAGAAGGTGTTTTCACTTTGTCTCTTAAATAAGGATAAAAAGAATAAAAATACACTTCTAAAGTTTTTTTTTAATTTTATTTTAAATAAAGTTAAAATCCCTGTGTATCTACCAGTCACTGATACCAGATAACACACAGAGAAAGTTGTCAAATACCTTTAGTGGAAGCCTGTCTATTAGATTGTTGATTACTTTAGGGTACTGTTGTTTTATGGCAGGGGGTGTTCTCCTGTAAGGGTGGTAATGACATCACAACACTCATTCTGCTGGTTCCCACTTTTCCAGACCTCCTACCATGCACTAACACACTTATAACACATCCCAGGGGGGTATTTAAATTTTAAAAGCAACAATTAAAAAATAGCAGTCATCAATCAAGGGTGATCTTAAACAACAGATGCTCAGGGAAGGACATTTAGCAACATCCGCCGCCATGTATTTATTTTATTTTTTGCAATTTTATTTTTCCTCCCTCCGAATGGGTAAAATCCTTGCTTACGCCTCCCAGAAAAATGAACTGCATATAGGCAGCCTGATCCAACAGCTTCTTTTTTAGCACACTGCGAGCTACTTGACTTTCCCCCCCCCCTCCCCTTTTACCAGCAGGACTGTAACAGTCAATAATTCATATCTAAACTATATAAGCAAGGGCATGACATGAATGGAAGTGACAATAAATATGATTGCACGCCCAGTTGATATACATTGATAGTTACACATGGTGGGGGAGAGCAGCTTTCGGAAACCTGAATCTGTGTCTGTTTAAAATTTTTATATATATATATATATATATATATATATATATGCGCCTCATTGTGTTAGCAGCTGATTGAAAATGTGGTTACTTGACTCTTGTAATATATATAATATGACTAAGGAGACCCTTTGTTAAATGTTGTTTGAGCAGCTTGTAACCTAGACAAAGCACCTAGCAGTGGCATTCAACTCTCTGAAGTCCTTAGGGCTGCATTGCCAGTGCCTGACCTTCTTGAGAAGCCATTCATTATATATTTCCTATAATTTAATGGAGCCTGTATATGGTTCTTATAATGTAATGGACCCTGTGTATATATAAATATCAGAGATGCCTTGGAAATTCTGCAAGTGCCTTTTCTTCCTCTCCTTTTATTTTCTGTTAGCCAAGAAAACGACCGGTCTCTCTCTTCCTCTTATTTCTTTTGTTGACAATGTTGTCTATAAAATGTTGGTGGTTGGCCCAGTCTCTAATCAATATCTGCCCTGGTTTGTAATCAAAGCAGTTGTGAAGTTGTAGGGGATGATTCTTTTTGAATTAGAGCAACTGGAAATACAGCGGGGGGAAAACAACAACCCACACCCCCATCCGCTCTAATATTTGGAGAAGCTGTTGGGCTATACGGAATCGGAGCGAGGTGGGAACATTTGAGTGTCCATAATGAGTGGGTGTGTTAATTCCGATCCCCTAATTAAAATCTAGAGAGACATTAGGTCAAAGTGTGACAGTGCAAACAAAGAGCAGGTGTGGATTGGTACCGTCTCCCTTTAATCATTCTGGCTGGATTGCTAGACGGGAGGCTGCTGTGTTAAACAGAATAACCCCCCCAAATAGGTAAATTAGGATGGCATTTGAAATGAATTTTTATCAAGTCAGCTATATGTGTATGGAGAATAATTTGCTTTATAAATGAGTGGGGGGGGGGGAAAAAAGAAAAGAAAAATCCATCACACTTGAAACTAAGAAAGGTGAAGGTGGTATCTTTATTATTATTTTCTTGGACCAAATTCTATAGCTGAGTAGCCGTGGTCCTCCGAAGATGAGTCTCATCCAAAAGGAACACACAGGCCTAGTGCAATCCAAGGTGCAGGTGTGCATAGGTGAAAGTTGGGCTAAGTTAGATTTCCTCCCCACATCTGAATTTCTGATGTGGAGTCAATGGGGAGGAATCCATTGTCGGATAAAATCCTGGCTACTCAAGTGGCTTGTGGTTCTGGTGGGGCGAGTGTGCGAGCGTGTGTGTGTTCCGCTCGTCCCATCTCAAGCGTTACAATGTGCGGAAATGGGGATTCGCTTTCAAACAGCTTGATTTAAGTGACTCCAGAGCCTGATGGAGACTTTACCACCAACTCCCGCAACATTCCGGCTAATATTTCATAGCGTTAAGGTAGTCTGAGCGAACCCAAAGTGTCCATGAAGTTGTTAGAAAAAGAGGTCGTCTTTACTGGCTGGAGTCCCCTTTTGCAAGATGACTCTTCAATTATTTTAAAGGATTTATAGGCATGCGTTTTTTTTTTTTTTTTTTTTTTTTAATGCTTGTTTGCTGGAATCCGTTAGTTTCTTTTGTCTATTTCAGGGTGATGTCTTTTAAAAAGTAGTAAGTGGAGAGATTTGATTTGAGGTTAATGCAGGAAAAATTGTTGCTTAAATGTACACATGATTAGTCTCTGCTAATTTGCAGTGTTTTCCCTTCTTTTTTGGTTGCTTCGTTGGGGGCTAATTGGTAGGACTAGCTTCAAATGGCTAATTGGCTTTTTGGAATAAAATAATAATAAAAATAGAAGCCATCATTGTCTCAAATGCAATTGATTTCCCAGTCAATAGAAATTTAAATTAAAAAAATTGCACTGGCAATTATGAAAAGTTTGCAAGGGTTGGGGGTTCCTGTTTGTGTTTTTAGATGATTCTCTGCCTGAGCAGAATTGCTAAGTAGAGGAATCAGGCAAGGCAAACGCAGACGTGCGGTCCTTGGATAGCAAACTGGAAAATATCTGCTGTCAAAATGCAGCAGCGTCTATTTCAGCTGTGAGCCTTTTCCAACTCCCATCTCGTTTGATGGGGAATGGAGAAGAGAGAGAAGGTGAACGCAGGATCTATGATCATTTAATCCGATCGCTCCTCCTTAAACATTAGAAGGGATATTCACTTTTTTGCTTCTTCCATGGATGTGGGAATGTGAAACACATTCTGTTTAAAAGGACCCTGACTTTTTTATTTGTTTTAAATTTCTCAATTTATTTTTTTCCCTTCTGTGTGTCAAAGTAATTCAGGTATAAAAGGAAAATTAATACACCCCCAACAGATGAAATTTATTAAGTGGAATATTTATAGACAGCAATGATTAGCTGTGCAATTGTTGTTGATAGTGGCTTTGGTTTGTTTATTTGGGTTTTTTTTGTTTTTGTTTTTAAATTTTGAACATAGTAGCTACATAAGGCACTTCTTAGCCACCCTTCCCCTATGTATTATCTTCATGAAAGTTAACTCAAATCAGCTCTTTGGAGGAGGTAGAATATTTTATTTATTTTTTTTCCTTAGCACCCCTTTGTTCTCTCTAGCTCTCTGCCTTTCTCTGTGTTCAATTAACACCCCCATCACAGAACTGTAGTCTTTTTTTTAATGTCTGCTACTGTATTTCACTTCTGACACCTCCCTTATTATTCTTGCCTGCCATTTCTTTTTAATATAGCAATTACGTTATGGGGTTTCTTTTCTTTTCTCCCCCTCCCCCCTTTCATTTCTTTCTTTGAAGCTGGAGGAAAAAAGGAGGGCCAAGCATGTGTTGTATGTAAGTGAATGTTTCCTGGGGTGCATCTTATCTGTGAGAGAATGGCCAAACCAAGGCCCTGTCTGCCCTTTATAGGGTAGCATGGGGCAGCTTTTTTTCGGCTCTGCTTTTTGACCTTTATGCATCACTTTTTAAAACTCTGCCTTCGGTTTCCTGTTCTTCCCTTAAACTGGGAGTCAGCAGAGGAGCCCAAGGAGCATTAAACACCCACATTAGAATTTCAGTGGCAGTTGTGTACTTAGGGCCTGATCCTGCTTCCACTCCTGTTGACTTCCCCGCAGCGGAATCAGGGTCCTAACTCGTTCTGGCTCCTCTGCAAATCGTTGGTTCCAGCGCTCCGCGGCTCCCCTCCAAAGCAAAGCAGGGTTTAGAATTGTGCTGCCCTTTTTTTTTTTTTTAAGCGGCTGCTGTTCAAATGCCTTTAGCTGCCCTTTTGAGCTGTACACTGTTCTCCTGGAGACCTTGCGTTGGATCCACGGTTGGCATGTGCCTCGAGATTGGTTTAAGAATATACAACCGGTGGCAGGAGGGGGGGAAGGGAAGAGTGGGGGAGCTTTAGACTTTTCTACCCCAACAAACGCAGCTTGGTGTAGGCCCCTGAAGGTTGCCAGATGCTGGCCGCGAAAGCCTTTGCAGGACTCTTGATTCAATTAGTTCCAGAAACCTAGCATCTTTAGAGGGAAAGGAAGAAAAATAGGAATGAAGGAAATAACAACTGCACAGAAGGAAAGGGGTATTCGGAGGGGTGGGGTGCAGGGAGTGTTGACTTAATTGGAGAGCACGTTCACCTTTGGAAGGGAAAAGTTGGGGGCGTGACAAGGTGTGGGGTGTGAATGAGGATGGGGTATAAACCAGCAGCCCAGACTGGGACTGAAGACAGACGTATGGTATCTATTGATGGGACCTGCCTAGTGGGGATGACAAATGCAGCTCTCCACTCAGGTGCGGGTCCCTCTCGTGCTGCTGAAATGTCTGAAAGCTTTAGTTTTAATTGTACTTTCTCTACCGCTGAGAGGAGAGGAGGGGAGGGTGGGGGTCTGTACAAAGGTTTAGCGGGGCAGCTAAAGCGGTTAGAACAGAGCAGACGCAATTAGTGTAATCAGAATTGCCGTGGCAGTGTGAAAGGAGGTGGGA